AACCTGGAGCCTAATGGTTCCTCCACGCCAGCAGGTTTTCTAATGCTGCTGCACTTACTGACCCTTCACCTCCCCTCTCGATCATCCTGGATACCTGAAAATTTCACGTGCTCTGATGCTGATTAAGAAGACTCCCATGTTCTTCATGTTCTCAACTGTTTATATAAATAGACATTTTAATGCATTTTTCCAGCAAATTCTCCTTTGACACTTTGGCACAGGTGGCTGAGATTTCCACGCCACAGCAGCTATGAGATCGTAATGTTACCAGTGACAACTTGACATCATCTGTACCATGTACACTCCGGGCCCCTGCAACGGGAGTCATTAGGAATTTAGCCTGAAATAACACCACGGGCTGAGGCTGCTCCTGCCTTCTGCAGAGGGAGTCTGCCCACCTTGGCTTGTGGCACTGCTCCTTTGTGGATTCCTACAGCACCCTGCTCTAGCTGGGGTACTCCACCGCTTATTCTCCGCTAGGACGGCAGGCACCGCCTCTTCCCGCTTCCTTGAAGAATTATCTCCCATGAATGCTGAGCTTTTCTCCTTAGGTGCTGTCCCAGAGAATCACTCACCCTTGTTATCTCTCCAATTTGCTTTTAAAAATCAACAAACGGTTCTCTACAGGTCTGAACCAATTCCCTCTTCCTTCCTTCAGAGACACCGGGGTTTTGGACCAATCTAGATCCAAGTCCCCACAAGCTCCAGCCATGGACTTGAACTGACTGCAGCTCTGGGGAGGCCAGTGCAGGACTCTCCAGTCTCCTTCTTCTTATGTTAACAATGGCGAAATGCCGCAGAGACGGCGGCTGAAACTCAAGCGCAATTTAAACAAATGGATATGTAGGGTATAGTTCATACAATGCGAGTTCAGGCAAGGAAAATCGGAACAGCCAGGCAGCTCAATGCGAACCAGATTTTAAAAACAAAAACAAAACCCCAAAGCCCTTCCTCAAGGAAGCCCTTGCCGAATTCTTTCCCCTGCTGAGGAGTCCAACATCACGCCTTGTACTAAAGCCTTTGCATTCCACTCCAAGGAAGGATTTGGAGGGGGGGAAAAAAAAAAAAGCAGCGTATTATGGAACACAGCCTGGCTTACAGCCAGGGCTGGGGGAAAGTGGCACAGAAACCCTCTGGTTTAGCAGCACATTTTACTCCTGCTCTATGAAAGAGCAAGCTTTTGCAAAGCCCTAGCTGTTTGAACCCGCAGCGCTGCAGGGTCTCAGCTTCCCTAAGGCGAATCAGTCAATTGGTTCAACAGCGTACTTAAAATCCCCCAGAGCCTGCCTTTAAATCACCTTTATATTCCTCTGCCTAAAGCTAATAGTTTCTACCTGCATTTTGCTTCATCTCCATAGAAAAACAAGCTATTTAGCAGTCACATTAATAATCCGCAGCAATCTGGTTGTCATTTTCCTGATGGAAAATTTCACACTGCTGCCCAGCAGCCGCGACATGGTGAGTGCTATGTGCACCTCAAGCCACTCCGCTTTCCTCCCACTGAACCCAGCAGTGGTGAGAAAGGCAAGAGTCAGAGTTGGATGGGCATAAAACGCAGAGTTAAGCCCTGTCAGGTGTACCTAGGGCTCACACATGTGCAGGAACCACGTGGAAGCAGCCTTATGCTGAGTGGGAAAGCCAGCGAGCTCATGTCAGAAGGAGCTTAGAAGAAAGCTAGCTCCTGAACCCCCAGCCACACAATGGTAAAATACTTGTTGACAATGATGTTACTGTGGAAGGTGGTCTATGGAGAGGAGCTTTGCGTTGGAAGGTTCTAAGGCAGGAGATGAACTCCTGGGGACACGAACTACCCTTGCTCCGTGCACCCAGCGCCCCCGGCCATGGGTGCTCAGTCCGGCCAGGTTGACTGATGGGTGAATGCAAACAAGTAGCCAGAGGTGGGGAGCCAGTGTTTTCAACACACTCCCAATTTCCACTCATTTTGATGTGCCTTCAAAGAATCTCTTTCATATTAAATATCCCAACCTGGCCTTCTCTGGTTGATCAGTTTGTTAATCAAGTGACTGAAAGACTCTTTCAGTCTTCTAAGCATTGTCCATGGAGAAAAACAGGTCTTTCCAGGACGCCTGTCCCAAGGTGAGACGCAAAGCCTCCAGAGGAGCATACATCTCTCCCCTGGCTATAACGAGGACCTCAGCTGACAATCTCATGCTTTGAAGTCCAGGATGCTCTGGTGGTCCCAGAGCTGCTGAATCCTGCCCAACACCGCTGGCGACAGACGGGAGGGCAGAAGCCTTCCTCCTCCCAGAGTAACCACCAGCCCATCCTTCCTCTCACACAGTAGCTGCTGGTGTGTCCTCTCCCCTCTGGCAAGGTGCTGGGAAACAACACAAGGTTTTTGACATGGCACCATAAAACATGTCCTGAAAGTATTTATCCTAACATAGCCCAGTGTGCCCAGGGTGGCCTCATGTGAAAAGCCCAAGAGGTAAATATTCATTAAATAAGCACAGAGCTTAATATAGAAAGTCATGGAGTCAAGTAGTCCTCAAGCCCCCTCACTTCTTTGCAAACAGTCAGCCAATGAAGATAAATTTGGCAAGGTCAGTCACTTGCACTTTTAGGAAAGGCTCTTCTAAAAGAAAAAATTCACATGTTTCAGTGTTTATAATCGCTGCAGAAAGGCCTGGTCCAGCATTTCTCCCCTCTAATTCCTGCTCTCATAACTGTCAGATTATGAAACGGCAGACTGTAAACCTCCCGAGTCTACAGAAGAACACCTCTCTGCTCTCTGCTGCCACTTTGAGTAGATGAACTAATAAAAACAAGCTCCGCTATTCACTTCAAATGCCTGGGAGAAAGGAATCTGGAACAGTAGTAGCTTCAAAATACCGTCAAAGAAAGCAACCACCCACAGCGTCTGGAGTCCCCCCACGCTTATCAGCTCCCTTCACCTTGTTACCCGAAAGCCACCGCAAAAATCTGCCTCTTCCCATCCAGCTGCCTGCTGGGACGCAGCGGGGCAGAGGCCAGCACCCCGCTGCCCTCTTTCCCCCGAGCCAAAGAATTAAGGAGCTGTGTTGCCTTTAGGGTGTTGGACGATGGGAGCTTGCTCGGCCACCACGTCCCCCTAGTACGTGCAGGGTGGGAGCCTACACCAGCGTCTCCCAGAGATGCTCCTGATACAGGGCAACAAGCTTTGACAACCTGCCCCTTGGACACTGGCAGCAGACACGGCAGATCTGCTTTAATCTTTCAGCCAGAGGAGGAATATAACTGTTTATTTGTTTCCTGAGCCACCTCCCCCAAGGTTCTTAGGAGATGATCTTCCCGATATTATTCAATAAAGGTGGAAACACTCGAGCTTCCCCGCAGAGCTCCCGCCAAGGGCAGCACATGAAGGTGAAACCTGCAAGACTTCAGAGCGCACGGCTGTTTAATGCGTACTGAAAACAACGGCCGGCCAGCCAGGCTGCATTAGGACGTCAGGGAGAAGGTGCTGGCTGGAAGGGACACATCTAGCACAGGCACGTCTCCCTGCCGTTCGGTCACTGAGGCATTAATGCCACGGGAGGACATGGGAATTTGGAGCTGGGCTGCAGCCACCACCCCTGCCACTGGGAGCTGTGGGAGAAACGCCTCTGCGTGCAACTGTGAGGGATTCTGCAGATCCAAAACGTGCCAGGAAGGAGAAAAGTAACCAGCCACGACTCGAGATGCAAGGGAGCTCCCAGCCAAGGCTGGCGCTGGGACGGGAGTGGCCGTGTCTGTCTGGGAGGAGAGCTCCAGCACCATGCCAGACCGGCCACCAGGAGCCCTTGAGCATTGGAGGGCTATACAATAAGGTTTTGCAATATCTCAGCATCCCCACTAATAAATTCCTCACCTCAAATGCAAACGAAGCGAGCACCTGCAGCACCAGGCCATCCCGTGCCTGCAGCAGGACCAAGCGTGCCGTGCCAGGCGTGCCGCCCGCAGCAGCCTCGAAACCCACGTGAGACCAAACCGCACAAAAGCCTCTCTAGAAGCTGAGCTCTTGTCATCCTTACGGAGACGTTTCAAGAGGAACATGGCAACTCCTTTTCTTAATCACTACATATAGGGAAAAGCTCTGCTGGGTGACAAGTGTGCGAGAGGCTGGAGCAGAGGCAGCCTCTTGTCTGCAAGGACTCAGATCATCGAGTGGAGAAATAGCCAGAGATGAGGCTATTTTGGACGCAGTGTGCTGTTGCTGGAGCATTCGCCGGGGAGGCAAAGGCATTTGTTACCTCCTCTCCCCCTCTCCTTGGCCCCTGCATTGCAGAAACCGGCAACGCGTGGTGCTGCCCACGTGACGGTGGTCTCGGCACGGTGCTGAGCAACCCTGGTGAGGCCGGGACGTGGGAGCTCACGTGGCCCACAACCAGCCAAGGTGATTGCTGCCTGCCTCTGCCTGCAAGCTGGAAGCAGGCTCAGAGGAGACAAATCAGCCCTGCTTTGTCCTGGGACCCTTCCTACAGCACCCCAATGCCTCTCGCCCCAAAGCATCCTGTCAGCAGCTGGATTCACACCGACAACACTGCCCACATCCCCGCTGCAAAGGGAGCCGCCGGGACCTAATATTTAGGGGACCTGATAAATGCTTATAAATATCTGAAGGGTGGGGGTCAGGAGGATGGGGCCAGACTCTTTCCAGTGGTGCCCAGTGACAGGACAAGGGGCAACGGGCACAAACTGACGCAGAGGAAGCTCCAGCTGAACCCGAGGAAGAACTTCTTCCCTCTGAGGGTGACGGAGCCCTGGCCCCGGCTGACCCGGGGGG